GGGTTGGGTGGGAAAACAGCAGGTCCACATCAGCTTATACAGTTGCCAATAAATTCAACCTGCTTGAACAAATAAACATGATGATGATGATGATGATGACTGTCAACGGAAAATCTACCAAATCGTTCAAATTCGCCATCTAGAACCACAGAAACGACAATACACAGCAAGTGAGGTAGGTTTACATTTATTTTGAGCCTTAACATAGACATTCATTGATATAAGTTTACGATATTACGACTCTTCAAAATTCTCCCATACATTTCTTTATATTTCGAACAAACCACCAGACACGCCGCTTGTGTGGGCCTCCTGTGGTCAAATAGTTGTTGGCGAGCTGTGTTATTGATCCCGAAAGAGCGTTTTTCGTTTGTGACCAAAAATTCTTCTGTGGGGGTCCCCTACACCACTTTTTAAAACTCAGTTACGCAAAAAGACAAAAAATATTCGGTCTTTTCACGCATCGCTAATAAAATCCAACATTTTTTAACGTTCACGAGAAATCTGAGACGATCACGTTTAGCACAAAAAATGAAAAACCAAACTCATGAATTATCGATCCATACCTGAAGTCCATGTCCTGTCAAAATCCTCGTCAAAACCTAATTACAGCCCTTAGAGAAAAATTCGTACACGTTCAAAACCACTAAAAAGTCGGGAATTCATCACGGAAAACAAAACTGGTGCACGAATCACGTTTACTTCCGCCCTTTATTCACGAGTCACGTTTGAATAAAAAAAAACTGTTCAGTGGAAACCAAGAGATCTTACCTTCTTTAATTACGATTTTTCGAATAACAAGTAATCTTTCTCGCAAAGGGATTTTTTTTTTCCCTTGATAGATCTCTTAGTCTATCATTTCTCTCTCTGTCATTAATCAGTGAAAGTGTTAATTAGCCGGCCGAAAAAGGCGGTGCGCCGTGAAAGGAGTCTGTGAGAAGCATTCTTCCACGTTTTAACTTGAACCCCTTTGTTTGCTGTGATACATGTGTCCCGCTATGACTTTCAAATATCCTGGGTCGCTAGTTAATGATATTTTGAAAGAGATCATCGGTTCGCACTTGAAGAATAAGTAATTGTTACCGGAAATGCCCCAAGTGTCTATCAAGCCTTTCTCACGGGGGACTCCTGGGGAGGATTTTGTTGATCCTCAGTGGGTAGTAGTGTACATAGCGACACTCATTACAAAAATTTAGTTACACGGGGTTCAGCTATCGCTGTGCAGTTTGCCATGAAGGGCTTCCTTGTTATAATTTACTTCGGCATATTCTATCACAGCGTCCTCTCTCAAGATGAAGAATTTGACGAAGTCCAAAGAGAAGAAGATAAGCTTCCACAGTATCTTAAAGATGACGGAATTCGGCGAGTCGCCAAGCTAACCAAAGACCACTTCAACAAGACGCTCAGAGCAAGTCGAATGATGATAGTTTTATTTTATTATTCTAGCAGCGAAAAGCCAGATCCTGAAGGAGATCGATCGTGGAAATCGGACCAAAAAATGCTTGAGGTAGGAGGGCTTCGTAGCAAAGGTTTTACATAAATTTCAGATGGAAGCTCACATTACTCTGAGACATCAACCGGTCAGTCGAATTGGCGATAATACTCTGATCATATTTATTTCGCACGTGAAATCATATACGGTTTTTTGTTAGTGTCTCACTTGGATTGAGAATAACTCATTATGTGGACAATTCATTTCTCTTGTCTTTTGTGAGGGAATTCAAGCCCGTGTTGAAGTTTATCAACAGAAACAAATTTACGAATTAGTTTTTTTTTCTGGGAGATAAAAACCTACGGTTTTTCCTGCGGGATTTGTTTTCATATTCACATCAGCTTAACTTAATTATCGTCGTTTGCAAATTTTCATGCGGCTTGGATTTCATGGGTGATATGACAAGAGAGATGGTTTCAGCTTGGAGCCTCTGAATCCTTATGAATTTAAAGCTTTCATGGAGGCGACAAAGTACGGAATAAACATAGCTCTTTTCAGATAGAGAAAATTTGAAATTATTGTTACTGTATTGTTCTGAAACAAAAATCTCGTTCCACTGAAAACCGTCAATAATTTATTAGCAAGTTCTAATTGATGGTGTAAATTGTTCTTTAATTATTTATGATTTTTGAAAATCAAAGATATATTTTATTGTCAAAATATTTTCCCTTCACTCTGATTTTGATATAAATGACTTTGAACACCTTGTTTTTGAGAAAAATGGAATTGTTCCAAAACAGATAAGAAAAATCATTTTATCTTCGGATTCATATTTCGAGGTTACAGAGGATACAATATTTGGGTACTTAGTAAGATATATATGTATCAACATCAAAAATCTGTCCAGCTTCTCAGTTGTTTCTTACCTTGGGATCATAAATTGATTTTCTTTTTGACAGGTTGAAAATGGTAAGATTTACTTTGTAGCCAGTTAAGCACCAAAGAAATTTGGGCCTCCAAATGATTGGATCACTTGCCAGACTGTCAAGTTAAACCTTAAATTGTAATGTATAAGAGAAAAAAATTTATTGAGCAGCTGTGTCTCGGGAAATATCATCTCTTTGTATCTGTTCTTTCCACAGGAGGTTTTTGTTTGAATTTGGAGGGGGGTGAATCTCATGCTGCTGTTCAAATTCCTTGTTACCCCAAAAACAATAGCAAAAAAACAACAAATAAACAAATAGAGTCATCTCATTTTATCAACTGGGTTACTAATGTAAATTAGCCACTATAAAGAGTTTCTAAATCTGAAATTGTGAGCGTTGACAATTCATCAAAGCAAACAGAGGAATTGTGGGTGGCAAAAGTGCAGCTGTTCTAATGAAGGGTTGATGGTTGAAATGCCAGAAGGTCTTTATAGTGGCCAATTAACATTATCAAATCAGTTGATAAAACCAAATTATCTTGTGATAACCCCCTACTGATGCAGCACCATATAGCGCTGTTTTAGGAAAATTAGGAACATTATAAGTCTGAGGATAAACAAAAGAAATGCTTTTAAAAAGACAAAAAACACTTCAATAGAGGTGAAATACCTGAAACAACCAATTAAGTAGATTATTAATGGGCTTGGGGTAAAAAAAATCAACACATAAAACTGAAAATTACAAAAATAAAAAAAAACAAAAACAAAAACAAAATAGACAAGTAAGGTTGAGAAAGAAAACAAAAATAAAAAGATATATTATATTTAAATATCATTCCAATGCTCCTTCATCAATTGACCTCTAATTAGTNTGAGAATGAAGGGAAATATCATTTATGAGACTATTAATTGATCTGATGCAAAACTCTGTGCACTAACATCATCAGAATCGGAGTAAAAGTGTTAAAAATCATTCTTAATTGCTCCATAAGAGAAAATATTTTCTTATCATCAGATGTACTTACATTTCAAACACAAATTTACTGCAGGTGTGAAATACTCTGGGGCAATTATGGTTTACCACAGAGGAAAGAGAATAGAATACTTTGGACACAGGTAATAAAAATTGGTGTAAAGAATGGAGATTGTCGTGCATTTCTCTTGATAGTAGATAGATAAGCATTGA